ACAACAACACATAAACACGACGCATATAAAGCGTATCGATCCTACAGATCCTCTCATCACAACATATCACCATAACGCACTCAAGGCACAACGATTCCACTGATCCACATATCTCACGCAACACATCAATACCACGCGCACAAAGCGTAACGATCTTACTGATCCAATCCTCATACCACAACGTATAAACGCAACGCATAACCAGCGTATCGATCCTACGGATCCACATCCATCTCACAACACATCACCACATATAGCACATAGTGCATACATATCACATACACATCCATACTTATCTAAACTTAACACATAATCCACCGAGTATGTCAAATGCAATAAACGCCAGCCACACGGCCCTTAAAACCCTCAACACACTCTCGACACCCAACTATCATCACAGCACATCAATCCGATCACACTCAGCACCCTTATATCACCACATACATGTATCATAACATACACTGACGTAATCCCTCCAATTAAGGGAATATCCAGGAATTCACATCCTGCACCACACATACACTCACCACGGCTCGCGATCACGCTCATCGTCAAACATGACCAACAAGGGTCTAAAACCACAAAGGAAACCAACAGAACAGCAGGAGAAACACAAACTACTGTCGGGCTCGCTGGCACATTCGCCTGGCGAAGTCCCGCAACGAACACTCGCTGGCCATTCGCCTGGCGAAGCCCCGCAACGAACACTCGCTGGAACTCGCCTGGCAAAACTTCTGGCGAAGGCAGACAGAAGCTTCTGCCAGCACTCGCTGGCTAGTTTGCCTGGCGAAGGCTCGCCCCTCATTCGCCCAGCGAATTCCTGCGTACTCAGAAAAATTCTGCACAGCAGAAACAACACCCATCACTGATTCCACCTGATTAAATCGAGTCTAACATCCTCTCGCAACCAAACAACGTATTACGACTTAATTACAAGGTCTATTCCCGATTCTACCCGACAAATTATCAACTCTGCTCAAATAACCCACTTCTGGCTCAACTTCGAATTTTCCCGAAAGCCCCAAATGCACTCAAACAATTATCACAGCCACATGCAAACGAATTAACACATTCAATCACCACAATCACAACAACAATGACATACAATCAACATCAGATTATCATCATCGCGCAAATATACTCATACATGGGGTTAGGGATTCCCCTTCTACCAATATTCATGTAATACCATTTAACCGATATATCTCCCCCCTTACCTCGAATTCAATTCTGATGTTGATGAAGCTTCAGAAATCCACAACTTGATGATCTTTTTGCTTCAGCCTTTGCTCTCTTGATTGTGCTTGCTCTTTCTCCCACCATGTGTTCTTCGTTCTCTCTACCGTGTTCTTTCTCTCCTTTTCCTTCAACTTTTCCAAAATGCCAAACTTGCCCTCAATACCCCCAAAATTCCCTTATATTCCAAATAAATAATTAATTCTCATTTTCTTTTAATCCAAAAATTCCAATAATAATAAATCCTCATTTTAATCCCAAATAACCCAATTATATTTATTCTTAATCCCAATAATAATATTCTCGTTTCCCCTCATTCCAAAAATCAAATTTAATATTAATATCCCAAATAAATATTATTTCCACAATTTCTTTAATTTCCAAACTCTTCCAATAATATTTTTAAATATGACAATAATAACAATAATATTAATAATAATAGTATCAACACTATTAATCATCATATTATTATTATTATTAATCATATTTCTCTAATATTATGGAACTCAATTCCTCAAACAATTTCCACACACCTTGCACCGAAAAAAATAATACGGAAAAACCAAATAATTAAAAATGGGTGTTACAAAGTCGCCATTTTCTGTTGCGGTTAGAATATGATATCAAATTATTAATTAATTTGAATCGCATCTTTAGTTCACAACCGCTTTTTGATTTATTCGAAGGAAAAGGTCAAAAGATGAAAACCTAATTTTGCATCGTAAAGACAATGCGGGGCGAGATCTAGGTAAGGGGTTGGTTAAGCTTAGGGAAGATACTAGCACCCTAAACTTCTGTAGTACTCTACAAGAACCTTTTGTTTATTGTATGCTTTTTTATTTTATTTTATTATCTGCTTTAATATATATTGAGCTAAGGGATAGAGTGACCTAAGGACCTAAGGGTTAGCCCTAAGTTTACTCGGCAAGACGTCGCATCTTGTGCCTACGTATCCTGGATAGGGAATGGAATCAGAGTAATCGTAGTTCCCCTCGAAAGGGAGGTTAGAAACGTCTTGACTGTGGTCAAGGTTTCAAGGGGAGTAAGCATTTCTTAAGGAAACGCTTACGTGGAGTCTTAAACTCTTATTTCTACGTTGAAATGTTGAATTAAAATTAGGGTTGAAATTAGGGATTCCACGGCGGGAAACCCTAAAACAGAGTACGGCGACTCTTTGACCTAAAGCTAGGGTAAAGGGTATTTTCGTCCACGGTGGGACACCTAGGCTATTAGGGTTTAGAAGCTGTTGAAACTGGGGTTATTAACTCGGCGGTCAAACAGCTAAACCTAATTCCTTCGGAGGGAAAATAACGGTAAAACATGCAAACATGGTAAGATATTATATGGCAGAAATTAAAATGCAGAAAGTAAAGAAAGCGTCGCGAAGATCACTCGCGTAAATTACAAATCCCTAAAAAAAAGAAAGATAAAATAAAACCGCGACCATGGCCTCGCGTAAATTACATCCATGGAACAAAATAGATTGAAATAAATATAAATCGGAATCTATGTATAATCTGAGGAGAGAAACAGAGAACATTAGTGAAAAGTTAGACGGAAATATGGCAAACACAGTTTATATTAAAAGAAACACGAAAATGCAATTTGGAATTTTTATTATTGTTTTGTTAATTTTTATATTTTGTTTTTATTAAAATTTTAGTCTTAATTTTAAAAGGTTTTAATTTTTAAATAAACAAAACTTTAGTTTTAACTTTTTATCTTTAGAAAGTTTTAATCTTAATTTAAAAAGAAAAGTTTTAATTTTAATTTTTAAAAGAGAAAGTCTTAAATTAAATTAAAAAAAAAAACTCTATTCATAAGCTTTGTTTAAAAGAAGAAGTTTACATTTAAAATAACTCGTTAGTTTTACTTTAAAAGAATGTTAGTTTTAAAATTTTAAAAAAAGTTCTAGTTTAAAAAAAATTTTTAACCCTTTCTAACGTGCTTTAATTTTTAATCTTTAAAACTTAATTTTAACATAAAAAAAAATGTTAATTTTAATACTTAAAAATAAAGAAGAAGGTTTTAATTTTAGGAGTGGGTTAATTTTAAGTTAGTGTTCTGGCCTGGGCCCGGCCTCGCGGCCCAGCCCAATAACGCACCCCCCACCGGACGGACCAGATACGCTCCCTGTCAAGCAGAACGACGCGCTTCTAAGCGTCCTCGGTGCTCCCCCTAGCCGGACAGAACAGCCTCCGCGGGCGGTATTCCCCATCCCACCGAGCAAGAGCCCATGGCTCTCCCACGTCCACGTGTGCTCCCCTCCTCGGAGAGAACGACACTGCTCCGATGAACCTCGCGAGCTCCCCTCCATGGGGAGAACAACGTGCCATGTGCGTGTTCTCCACGTGCTCCCCTCCGTGGGGACACGTCACCAACCAACTTCCCACCTCCGAAAGAGCAGGTCAAACCCACTTTCCGGAGATCAAGGAGCAGTTGGACTAGGGAGAAGACCACGTCCTGGTCTTCACTACGCCACGTAAGCCCTAGCAGTCACCTGGGTTGGACCTGGCAATCCAGCCCAACGCAAGTGACCGTTGGCCCAGCGCTGGGGTCTCTCTATAAATACCCTCTCCCTCAAGAGGGTCAGGTAATTCACTTCTTACCCCATTTTTGTACTTTGCTCTCACTCTGCCCAATTCCTTACTTTGGCATCAGAGTGTCTTGCAGGTGCACCCCCTTTTATCCTCCTCATCACCGGTGAACAGGTAGCAGTCCAACAGCGTGTGGCCAGCCCGTGATCCCCTTCTGATCAGGTCAGATCAGTTAGTAAAAATGTTTTCACTCAACTATAAAAGTGTTTTAAACACTGTTTATTTATAAAAAAAATTGCTAGTGGTTATTGTTTTAATTAAGAAAAAGTTTTAAGTTTTTACTTATTGTAATTATAATCAAAAACTGGTTTTAGTTATAATTCCCAAAAAGGGTTTTTTTAGTTAGAATAAAAAAATGGTTTAAAAAATGAAATGGAGGTTTAATTATTTGGAAGAGGTTTTAATTGGGATAACAGAAAAGCTTACATTTCAGTTGCCGGTTGGTGATGCTTTCGCTTGTTCTTCGCCAGCGGCAACGGTTCTCGACGAACTTCTTTGGATCTCTTTTCCTCTTTCTCAAATGGAGGTGATGATGATGAGCTTCGAAGCTCTTCTGAACCTCCAGATCTTGACGGCCGCCGTTTTTATTTTTGTCTCCTTCTCCCCCTTCCCTCAAATGCAACTCATGTTTATATAGGTAACAAATTAGGGTTAACTCTAACCAAATGCCCACTTTAAAGTCCAACTTAAAGACTTAGTCAAAACTAACTAAAATTTAAACAAATTAAAACAAACTTAAAACCTTATTTATTTACTAAACATTAAAAATATTATAAAAAGAATAAAATATTTTCTAATATTTTTAATTTTATGATTTTTGGATGTTTTTATGAATAATATGGAATAAAGTGAAAAATAATATTTTTAAAAAAATAATTTAAATAGAAACAAAACAAAAAGTGAAGAAGGTGGGATTCGAACTCTCAACTTCTCACACTCACAACTCCTTACACACGGTGTCTTGCCAATTGCGTCATTTTATTCATTCAAAATAAAGTGGCACTAGAAACTATGTAAAGGTAGGACAAATTTGGGGTGCAACAGATGGCAATAGGCATTGTGTTAGATCCAAGGTACAAAGTTGATTTGTTAGATTATTTTTTTCCTCTAATTTATGGAGATGAAGCTGATAATGAAATTGAGAAGGTAAAATCTTTGTTTCAAAATATGGTAATTGAGTATAATTTGAAAATAAAGGAGAAAGAGAATGTTTCTTCATCCTCAGATCAAACTGAAATTGTGCCTGATGCAATTGTTGTTGGCAAAAAAGAAGTTTGGAGGTCTAATTTTGCAAAACATGTCAGTGCAAAAAAAAGTGTCATGTCTAGTAGGTCAGAATTTGACGGATATATAGAGGAGAAAATGTTAACGGATGATGAAAATTTTGACATCTTAGGTCGGTGGAAGGTTAGTGGATTAAAATATCCAATCTTGCAAATGATTGCAAGGGACTTCTTAGCAATTCCTATTTCAACGGTTGCTTCCGAGTCTTCTTTTAGCACAAGTGGTCGGATTCTTACTCCTCATCGTAGTAGATTGCGTTCGGATACTTTAGAGGCATTGATGTGTGTCCAAGATTGACTATGGACTGATGTGAAAGGTAATCAATTTTATAACATGTTTTTATTACAGTGATTAATTATAATAAATTATTATTTGACATATTTTTATTACAGTGATTAATTATAATAAATTATTATTTGACATATTCTTATTTCTTTTCAGGTTATACCAAATCAAAAGTTGAGGTTATTGAAATTAATTCAGTATTGGAAGATATGGATCCTGACATTATTAGTGAATGAAATTGTTAGTGTATCTTATAAGATTTGGTTACAAATATCACTGTTATTTTGGATATTTTATTTGGAATCTTTTAAGCTTTTAATTTAGGAGCTAGGAAACCAAAGTATGAATGTTAAGCAAGGAATGCATAATATGGAATTTTGTAATGATTGATGAAAACTATTTGCATTATTACTTTTTGTTTTATTTAAACAATTATTATATGGTATGATGAACTTTATTTTGTTAAAAATGAAATGTATGGATATTATGTTTGAATGTTATTATGTTTTAGTGAAAAAAGAATGAAAATAATATGATGAAGTTTAGTTGTTAAATTGAGAGCGAAAAAATATATTTTTAAAAAATAATTTTAGACAAAAAAAGTTATTCATGGATATCTGTAAATATCCGCGGATACCTTAAAACCCGTGGATTACCCGCTTAACTGATATCCGTATGGATATGGGGCAGATACAGATATCATATTTATCCAACGGGGCAGACACAAATATCATACTATCCGTCCCCATGGATATCCATTTACATCCCTAGTCTCAACTAACATCTCCCCATTCATGTGAGATAACACAAGATCCAAACGTTCAACACAATCAGCAGCAATAGAACAATGAGAAGCACTAGTGTCAATAATAGCAAGTAAAAGAGTACTATTAATGAAACGAGTACCTTCAATGAGTTTTTCATCACTGAATGTCTCAGTCCCAGATAGAGCGAACACCCTGCCACCAGTCTTTTCCTTCTTAGGCTTCTGACACTTGTCACGCAGATGTCCCTCTTCACCACAGTTGAAACAAACCATTCTCTTGCGTTTGCACTCAGCAATAGTGTGTTCCAACTCATCGCAACGGCAACATCTCACTGGTCCAGAGTTACACACATTACTCTTGTGACCAGGTTTCCCACACTTATAGCAAACAATACCAGCAGGAGCATCTCCCCTACTAGTTTTCTTGTCATCAGTTGCTCTCTGTTTCCCTTTGCCAACTGGAGGGTCAAAAGGCTTACCACGAGTCTGATGTGACTTGCCTCTCCTTTCACTCACCAGCTTGTAATGAGCATTGCTATCTTCTTCATAAATCCTACAGCTTTCTACCAATGAATCAAAGACACGGATCTTCTGATACACGATTGCTTTCTTGATTTCAGACTTCAATCCATTCTCAAACTTGATACACTTAGAGAACTCAGCGGTCTCCGTGTTGTAGTGCGGATAAAACTTAGCCAACTCCTTGAACTTCGCAGCATACTCCGTAACAGATTTGTCTCCTTGCTTCAGTTCAAGAAACTCAATCTCTTTCTTACCACGGACATCTTCCGGGTAGTACTTCTTCAGAAATTCTCTACGGGATACAGTCCAAGTGATCTCTTCCCCTGTAGCTTCCAATACCGGACGAGCCTCTATCCACCAGTCGTCAGCTTCGACTGCTAGCATATGAGTCCCATAACGAACCTTCTGGGTTGGAGTACAATCCATCACACGAAAGATTCGCTCCATTTCCTTCAACCAGTCTAGTGCACCATCAGGATCGTGCCTACCCTTGAAGGTAGGTGGATTCTCCCGCTGAAACATGGCCAAACTGCGAGACCCAGCATCTCCAACAGGATTCGGCTGATTTTCCATAGCATTAGCTAAAGCTTGCAGAGCAGCAGCAATTGGAGCATCATTCCTTCCAGCCATTTCACTTAAACTGCAACAACCAACAGTCAGATCTCACAAACAATGATAATCTATTGCTAGACACGACAACTAACTCGATAACTCGGTCGATAGGAACGACCTGCTCTGATACCACTAATGTAACACCCCATTCTAACCCCAACATATAAACAACAAAATAACAATCAGAGTGCACGAAAATTGGATAGGTGACGATCGTGAGGGAACCGTCACGACCGTGATGGTCATGACGACCGTGATGGTCATGACGACCGTGAGGGTCGTGACGATCGTGATGGAGTGGTGACAGTTGTCACACTCACAAAATCTGGGTGTCACATTTCCACTTACACAGAACACACACAACTTCAACAGAATCGTTTAGTACATACATAACACAAAAATTTGGATGAACAAACAACAATAGCTTGCTTAGCATTTAAACTACAAGGAAATCTATTTGGCAGTGCAATTTAATTAGCTTTCAACATTTAAAATAAACCAATGCAAGACCAGAAAAGTCTGCAACAAAATTTTCATTAAAAATCAACAAGTACATATCTTGCATCAATTCACAAAACAACTAGTTCCAATTATAAAAATCAGCACCTACCGATTCATCGGTCTAGTGCGTGCAACCAACATTTGGCACTATCAGGAGCAACCAATTTATTAGAGAAAAATGCTTAATAAAATTCAGCAACAAGTAAACCAACTAAAGCAGTAAAAATCAATCGTTCATCCCTCCAAGAGTGCTACGTATCAGAGCGACCAACGACACCTTAAACGGAAAGCTACATTCCATTCCGAGCTACCTGCAAATTACCACCAACGGGGGTAACATACAACGTAAAGGGTGAGATATCAAAATTATAACATAAGGCATGATAAAAGTCATGTCATGATCGTATCATAGCAATTAAGATTCTCGCAGTTCCACAACTATTATCACAATAAATTATCGGGAACTTCATCATTCATGTATGCACAATTAGCATGAAAATTCAGCAACTCATCATCACTTACAAACACATAATAACGCGACAATATGCGACTCAATATGCAACTCAACTATGCAACTTAACTATGCATGTGGTACCATTTCGGAGCAGCACTCCACAACCAATTTAATTGCCATTATAGGCCGCCAATACAGGCACAACCAACGCCAATACAGGTCAACCAGGATGATATGCCATGAAATGCATCTACTATGGACTACAACACAACAACAACGACTACGCAACAAGGAATTAAGCCTACAACCAATTTGTCCAAAACAGAAGCATAACAGTTTCATAAGAATCATACAACTACAATTTTCATATCAATCAAGTAAGAGCATAATAACAACCTTTTCTCAACAAATGGGAAATTAGCGTGTGTCGGCGCCGACTCCCAATATTATTACCTAGAACTAATGACATCGAACACTAATTCAGGCACAGACAAACATTAACCCTTAATATTTCTCAACCTACGGGAACATTAAACCTTAATATTTCTCAACCTACGGGAACATTAAACCTTAATATTTCTCAACCTACGGGAACTAACCCCATGATCCAATTCCCTTCATGAAATCGATCATACCCACAGTTATAGCATTGAACCCCACCCTTACCTTTGGATTAAAGACAACTCTAAACTTCCGATTTGCTCTCTAGTGACCCTTCTGCAACTATCTTCAATTCTCTCCGGCGGATAATTCTTCGGTTCCTAATGCTTCTACAGTCACCTTCCTTTTTCTTTCTCCTCAACTTTCGTTTTCTAAGCAGTTTATCGTGCTTTTGCTCTCTTTCCCCACAACCTCTCTAATAACTCCCTAATTCCCATTATTCCATCCACTAATAATAATAATAATAATAATAATAATAATAATAATAATAATAATAATAATAATAATAATAATAATAATAATAATAATAGTAATATAATATTACTACTAATTATTAAATTATCCTCATTATTAATCATATTATATTATCAACTTCTATATTTATTAAATGGTTTCCTATACTTTAAGAACATCCACCCCCGCTCTCAGACACACTCCCACATAATGGCACACCAACAATTCGTAATTAATTAATTTAAAAAGAACGGGCGTTACAGGTCACATTGTTGTGAGAGTATGTTGACGTATTTGCTTGGTCCTACAAAGACATGGCAGGTCTAGATGAAGACATTGTGGTGCACAAGTTACCCCTCAAAGAAGATTTCCCGCCGGTGAAGAAAAACTTGAGGAGAACGAAACCAAAGATGTCCTTCAAGATAAAAGAGGAAGTTTAGAAGCAGCTAGACGTTGGTTTCCTGGCAGTATCCAGCTACCCACAACGGGTAGCAAATATTGTTCTAGTAACGAAGAAGGATGGAAAGGTGCGAATGTGGGTTGATTACAGGGACTTCAACAGAGCAAGTCCAAAAGACGATTTCCCTCTGCCGCACATTGACGTACTAGTAGATAGTACAACCCAGTTCTCTGTCTTTTCGTTCACGGATGGGTTTTCTGGTTATAATCAGATCAAAATGGCACCAGAAGATATGGAAAAGACAACCTTCATCACCCCATGAGGAACTTTCTGTTACAAGGTCATGCCGTTTGGACTTAAGAATGCAGGCGCGACATATTAGCGGGCTATGGTCACTCTCTTTCATGACGTCTGGGTGATAATTTTTTAATCTTCGATTGAATTTGAGTGTGGATGCGGATTTGTTACAAGAAGGTGGCTGCAAGTGCGGATTTGTTACAAGAAGGCGGGTGCGAGTGCGAAGCTGTTTAAACCTGCCCTGCCCCGTTGTCATGCCTAATGCCATCTATTTTTTACGTATGTTCTAAAATGTCATGTTTATATATATATATATATATATATATATATATATATATATATATATATATATATATATATATATATATATATATATATATATATATATATATATATATATATATATATATATATATATATATATATATATATATATATATATATATATATATATATATATATATATATATATATATATATATATATATATATATAAGGTTGTCGCCCATTGAAAGAACGAACCTTATTAAAAATCAACACTATCGCCGATTAAATGGACGACACAT